AAGAAAGCTGAATTATTGTTTTATTGTGCATAGGGAAAAAAAAAACAGACCAAAACATATTTGTGGGGAAAACACATGGGCAAATTCTGCAGCGCAAACCTTCCAGATGCAGCTCAGTTAAGACAGTCCAACAGGAAGGCCTCAAAAGGAGAACATTATTGGCACATAGGAAGTTTTAGCACTTACTACAAGGATGATCAAACCATGCTAAGTCATTGTTTCCCTGTATTCATCTATCAGTTGGTCTTCTCTTGGACTTGCATTCACATTGTAAAACTTTTGGGATGCAGACCAACTTTTTTTTTTGTTCTGTGTTTGCAAAATCTGTGCCTAGAGCAACTGTACTGGAAAAAAAAAATCTCAGCATTGCCATGGAAGTATCTGTGTATTTTGGGTGTAAATACTTAACATAGAACAGAAGTGATTAAAATAAATGTTTTTGTAATGTATGCTAAGTTGGGAAAAAAATGCCTTTGGTCTAAACTAACTTTTACCACCCAGGAGGCAATACCAGAATAACTGCACTGGTTTAAATTCGCACATCAGTTTGCCTAAGCATACCTCTCCTGTGGTGACAGCCCGTAAGGTGGAACTTGAGCTGTGTAAAGCTGGAAGATGTGAGTAACCAACAGCAAAGCTTTCACAGGATACTGACACATCCGTTTGTCCAGGCATTGACTTCTCTATGATTTGAATATTTGGGAGGGCGATTCACAACACTAAGTTAAGAGCTGTTTTCTCACTTTGGCAGTGTTCCCAATGAATTTCTTTGGTGTCAGCCTAAGTAGATCCCACACTTGCTCCAGCAGCTTGCTCATTCCCACTTCCTGCACTGTGCTGATCCAAGCCCTAGCAGTCATACACTGGATTAGGGATATATCAGACTTAAAAATGAAATCCTGAAAAAAAAAAAAAAAAAAAGGTTTCTTTCCAGGAGATTCAGTTCCCTGAACTGGCTCACCATGAGGAAGTGTGAATTAAAAGCTTGACATTTAAAACAGTAAGAGCAGGGAGAGTCTCAAAAGGGTCAGTGAAGTAATCTTACTACTGAAAGTAAAATCACAGAGGTAAGGTCCTTTGGAAAGGCAGGGAGTAAAGAAGAAGCCTGTTTCTTAATGTGTGTGCTCACACCCCAGTACAAGTGATGGGCATAGTGTGCATATAGAAGAACAAGAGGGCATGAAGAAGGATGGTGGTGCACATTGGTGGAGTCGATGTTTAGTTCCAGCTATCCTCAGCAACCCCATCCTATTGCTAGGAAATCCTAAAGCAGTTCAGCTCTGGTGACCTGAAGGCATAAGAGGTAGTAGCTGTAGAAGAGGGACTGAGCATCCACTGTCACTATCACATGAGACACATGGGGTACCCTGCCCTGTGCTAGCAGAGAAGGGCAACAGAAACCTGACTGAGACACACATAATGTGTCTTGGGTCCCAGGGTAATAGATATAGTGAAACAGCAGCACTGCTCCTCCTAAGCAAGCGCATCAGGGTTGGAACAGGAAGAAAAATTGTTCCACTGGCCTTACTTTGTGGCACTTAGAATTTTAACAGGTGAAGACAACTATTATGCTATTTGAAATATTACAAGAGGTGGTCCTTCACTAAACATTGGTAAACGTGTCATAGTTATTCTGTGAGATACTTCAGTAACATGATTGTATTAGGCAGATAATGCTGAAAAAAGTCCTTGCACTTGTCTGAAGAGAGCTGTTTCCCTTAGGCAGAGTTTTACCATTTTTCTGTACCTTCCACCACGTTTCTGATGACTTGAAAGAACCACACTGTGTTTTAGTTCTGGACTTGGTTCTTTTCATATGAGGCAGATGGCTGGTAGTGGATGACAATGATTTAGTGATGTCAAGCTTCTGCTAAGACGATATCAACATCTACTGCACAAAACAAGTTAGAAAACAGGCATCAGGTAGCTTCAACTTGAAAGCCAAGATCTAATGAAATAAGGAGGTGTCTTCGACTTAGGAGTAACAAAACTTACCTTGTAGGCACGTGAACTTTGCAAATGACATCCAACAGTTAGGTGTCTAAAGTCCTGAAACATTGGGAATAGGACCCCTCCAAACTGCTATCAGAACCAACATTCCTTCTGAATTCAGAGCTAACAGGAGCTGCAACAAGGAAGCACCCGGCACAGCTGTTTTTTGCGCACCGTCTGTGTTTGGTCCAGCCAGTCTTCTCCATCAGGGGAGAAATTAAAATCCTTTCTTTCAATGAATAGAGCCACTTTCTCTCTTTTTTTTTTTTTTCTTTTTCTTTTTTTTTTTTTTTTTTACTCCCAGTTATGGGGTTCTTCAGCTGAGTTTACTCCATGGGCTGCTTGCTGCATTTGTACCACCACATAGCAAAGGAGGCCAGATTCTTGGTGTCAGATCATAAAAAGGAACTGATTTTAAGGCACATGAAGGGAAGTTTTTTGTTTATTTGCTTTTTTTCCCCTTTTTTGTGTGTGTGTTTGGTTTTGTTTTTTGTGTGTTTGTTTGTTTGTTTTTGTTGGTTTTGTTTTGTTTTTTTCTTAAAGATTGCTTGCCCATTTCGCATTAAACAGAAATTTATAAGCAGAAACTGATATGTCCTGGCGCAATATATCATAACCAGTAAGCACAGGCATTATCATTACAATTTCATTTTTTCTACCTGCGTTTTATAAAGAAATTATTGCTCTTTTCGTTCTCAGAGGGACCTGGCCCTGCTGGTGGCTGTGTCTAGCTCCTCAGGGAATTTAGCTCTGCTATGTTGAGCTTTGGCCCACAAACTGCTCACACAGGAGTCCCGCCTGGGCTGGCTCTGGGTCTCTGCAGGGGCTGAACTCCCAGGAGCATTCACCCCAGCCAAGGAAGGACATTGTGAATTAAATTAAGTGCTTCCAGGCTAAGCTGCTGCTGAAGATGATCACAGCTGTCTGCACAGCCATCAAAGATCTTGTTTGGATCAAACTTCTCATACCAACCTGCCTTAATGTACCTTCAGAGTTGCATACAGTAATAACACTCAGGACACTGCAGGGAAGTTTTACTGTTCTTTACATGATACTGTCTCACCAACCTCTTATCTAAAAGGGTAATAAAATTTCCAACTGCTTAATCTGTTAGTTACTTACCTTTAATAGTTAGCTGTTTAAGAGGGTTTTAGTTCCCACAGACTCATAAAAAGTCATCCTGAAGAGCATTTTGTAGCAAGACTTAATGATTATTGTTACGAAATAGTATCTTCCTGGGTAAAACCTTTATTTATAACGCGTGGAGTTGAGTGTGTTTTATCTGCCACAGTAGCTTCTACGATTGTTACTGGCAGGATATTTAACGGAAGCCAGGCTGTCGAACCATGGGGTATGGATGTAAACAGCACATGTATATGTATTTCAGGAACTAGAAAGCTAATTTTGTAATATGGAGTCAAGCGGGGCATATGGTAGATAACAGTCCCCTTTCACATTCTAACACAGGATTGAGATTTCTTAACAAAGGCAATAGAGTTGCAAAACAGCATGACTTTGTTGCAGTTAGTAATTAATGAGGTGCTAAAAGTGCCTAAACAGAGGATCCCAGGCAGAGAATGCATGACTCAAGAGGATAAGAAGCCTCCATCATTTCAAACAACAGTGTCATTTAAATAAACAAGCAGCAAGTCTCTGGGTGTGTGAGGTGGGAAGGGTGCAGCTGAAGCAGCATGCACGTTAGCCAGTGCTTTTTTGCCTGTGAGAAACCAGTTGTGCTTTTCCAAATGCATCAAGAGCTTTAAGGTGTGAAACATTTGTTTAACCCATTATTAAGAGGGGGATATCACACACTCATCTTTTCTGATGCCTTTCTGGTGGCATGTCACTCAATTCGAGTTATAACCAAACAGCAGTGATTGCCCTGAAGGCTGTTACCAGCTATGTGCTCTGCAGGATGGAGTCTACCTGGCAGGCTTTTTTTTTTTGTTTGTTTGTTTTAATCCTCATAGAAGACATAATTTCTGTGTTCTCAGATAAGACACAAATAATTTGGTTTTTGCTCTTTAATTTTTTTTCATTTGTGCCCTTTAACAAGCATGGGAGACTTGTGTTATTCTGCACAGTACTCTGGGGTATTATTATTTTTTTAAGCAAAACCAATTCCAGTGCAAGTATTATATGAAAATAGCAAAGGTTTATAAAATGCATGTCCTCTAGTATTTACTTTCTTTCCAACCAAGCATTTACAAATAAATTGAGAGAAATGTGGCAAAGCACCAAAGCCATCCACTAAAATATTTCATAAGAAACTATAATGTGAAAGGGGAATAAAAGATAACTTTTGGAAGTGATGTTTGTTAGTAAATTCTTTTTGTGTGTGTGTGAGTGTGTGTGTGTGTGTAGGGGGATATGATGCAATATGTCATGTTGACCCTTTCAAGTCTATGGCACAGTGATCCAAATTTATTCTTGGAGGGACTGCAGTGCAGTACATGTGTTGTAGTCAGATTTAACTTATCTATACATTTCTGCAGCTAAGAAGATATTATGGTTTGTTTTTTTCCCCTTTCTTTTGTGGCTTTAGAAAACTAATAAGTGATAATTCATTACATCATGGGAAGTGATGCAGCTAGGTACAAAGAAATCCAATTTCCCTCTTTTCAGATCCAGGCAGCTACAATATATTTACACTTTTTTTTTTTTCCTTCAAGAATCTTTCCATCTTACTGCCTGGCAAAGAGAGAAGAAAAATTGTTCATGTCCTTTATTCCCTATTCATTATTATGTATGAAACGTATGGAATGTATCTGATGTTCTTTTTGTTTTTCATTATGAACATAGTTACAAATGCTTTCAAAGACTGCATTGACTCCAGTGGACTCTTTCTTGAAATTTAAGTTGCTTTTTTCTTGCAACATTTCCTTCTGTTCAGTATCTCCCTTGTAATGCTCTGTGGCTCCCTCCGACTGAGCAGTAGTGAGAGCATTAATGGTACAGAGCATGGCTGAACATTGATGTTGCATTGTGCACAACAGGACTGAGGGAGTTTAATTGAAAGGGTTGTGAAGACCTTGGTAACTACGTTGGCAGTCTGCTCATTTTGAAATAGGGAACTGATCTTCCTTTTAGAAAAAATAGGTATTTGGTACCTGAAGATGTTGCAACACTGTGTTGATTTGGTTTGAATCCCCAAGGGTCAAAGTGAATGAAGGTCCTGTACTAGAAGAGGTCCCTACCAACGTGGTTCCACTCTGTCTTGACTCATCAGTACAGACCAAATGAAAGCCCTCCTACTGCCTTTAGCTGATGAAGACAGGCAATATTTGGTCCCCTTTCTGGAAAATGTAGGCTTGCACTGGTATGGCTCTTTCTTTGCTTATTAAAAAATATCTTCCTTTGTCTTCTGGTCTCAGTGAGGCACTGAGACACTCTGGTCTGAGCCCTGCAGGGGCCTGGCTCTGACTGACTTCAGGCAGAGTGCTCTGCTGAAGAGACACTGCTGGGCACAGAAAGGTTCTTGCATTTGGAGAGAAGTACATTTTGGTGGGACTGCGGTGAGAGAGTTTCTGTAACAAAAGAAGAGGAATCTCCTGTATCAAGCTTTTCCTTAAAAATACTCTAGAGGGAGTCAAATCTAAAAGTTTATTTATCTTTGAAGTATTTCAACTGCAGTTCCTTCGTTTTGAAAGCTCTGTTTTTTTTTTCTGTTTACTTATTTTTTGCCTGTCTAGTAATAAAGCATTTTTGTTTGAATGTGTTTGTTCATTTTAAGATCAGATACATGCTAATAGTACTTAGGAGGCATTACTTGGAGTAATGTGTCACTGTCACAGCAATAAATAGCCATCGAAACCAGCAAATACCAGTTTTAGCTTTGAAGGAAAGACAGCCCTAGGAAACAAAAGCAGAAAAGAAAGTGAAAGAGTTTCTCATCCCACAGAAATGGAGGTATTGCTTGTACGGAAGATTGTTTTCTCAGCGCTTAATATGACTTCAGTATCTGGTGACACACTAAGTCTGTTACACGATAACTTCATGTTAGAAATGTAACTGAATCTTCAATTACACCTTACTATCTTGAATGAAGGCTGTGGACATATTCTATTTTAAAAATCCAACTCCACTTTTAGCATTGATTTGTGGTTTGAATGCACAACTACCTTTGCTTTGCAGTGGTCGCTGAACTGTTTTAAGAATTAAACCTGTACCAAGGTGGGAGGCAGGGAGGGCTGTGCCACTTCAAGAGTTATACCGGGTGACAGTCTCTCCTGGAGCAGAGTCACCTCTCTTTAACCTCACTTTGCTACATATCCAGTGTAACAGCAGGCTGGAAATTTTCTGCTTTTATTTAGCTTCCACTGTTACAGCTGCTAAATGTCTCCTGGCTTTCTGACAACCACAGAGAACAAGCCTTTGTCAGAAAACTATGAATTCAATTTCTTCCCTTATAGGAGAGAGCAAGTAATGCTCATGAGGTTCCCTTCTACAGATTCCTCTACAATCACTGAAGGAATTATGCCCATTGCCTCATAGAAAAGACTATATGGTATCTGGAAATCCAGAAACTCCACAAATTCTCCGAGATCTAAACACCTAGCAGAGATAACGGGTGGGAGGCCACAGCTAGCAGTTGAATTTCAACATGGTTTCGTTCATAAATGAACACAACTAGGTGTGATTCTGCAGGCAAAGCCTCCTTGTGCTCAGCCTTGTGCCGGGAAGGGATACTTATTTGTTCATGAGGGAAATGGGAAGGATGTGGTGGTTGGAACTAGATGATATTAAGGTCCTTTCCAACCCTAACTATTCTATGATTGTATGATTCTATGACCATGTATTTGCGTATGAACTTATCATCTAGACTGTTTTTGTAGTTGGTGGAAAGACACTGATTTCTTTGTCTTGTGATAGATGTCTATGTCTAAAGGAACTGAGTTGAAATGTGTCCTAAAATACATAGGTTTCTGAAGTCAGATGATTTAACTTCCCTTCTGCACTGTTACTTATAGACAAAAAAAACCCAAACAACAACCGACATAGAGGGGAGGTCAGGCACTTGGTAGAATACAAGAAATTAAATCCTACTTCATTGATATTTCTGATTTCAAAAATCTTTCTTGTTGGTTTTGTTTCACACAGGCCTGAGGTATTTTGAAGAAACCCCTGGAAAGCACTGCTCTCTTCCCCTCTTATGCCTGTGTCTCCTTGGGTGTTGAGGTTTCTTGTCTGTGCTGTAGGAAAAACGCGCTCATGCTCCTCTTTGACATTGTATTTGCTAGGGACACTTCAGCAAGAAATTGAATAGGAGCTCTTACCTGGCAGTGTTTGTCATGTGGACACAGGCTTTTCTAGCCCATCATCTGCAGCTTACCATCAATGTTCTTCCCAGCTTTTGAGCTCCAGGCTAGCGTGTTGCTTAGATTGTTCTCCCTGGCTGTCTGACCGGGACTAGGAATGGACGACTAGGTCTCTGCAATTCATCTGAGGATCCTTGTCACTGCAGGGTGGAGGATCTCCCTTCCTCTGTGACAATCTCCATGCTGGAAAAGTCCAAGTTGATTTGGGAAAAAGGCAGTAGTGGATCAAAAATCACTTGTTATGGCAGGGGAGAGCTACCTTGATATTCTTGTTTGGAACCAGGAGGGACAGGGGTTTGATTTCAAGCTCTCCGTATCCTAAAAAGGTACCCTACCCTACCCAAGTGAACCCAACCCAATGCAATCCAATAGTTTCTGTCCTGTCCTGGCTGGAAATACTCCAAACTTTCCTGATAATATCAATAAAACCCCCCACTACCTCCATAAGAAACTAGCTTCAATACTAAAGCTGCTAGATTGAAAAATCTAGTTAAATTCCTCAGCAATATTTTTCCTTTAGCTCTTTCTAACCATAACATTGAGCCTCCCTGAGGAACAGCACAGGCCATAGGACCAGTGGATGAACTATGGCTGTGTTTTTCAAAGAAATCAGCTGGATGAAGAGGAAGCAGGGGTTAATATGAAACATGGCCCTGCATCTCACATTGGATCAAAGAACATATTTTCCTTCTCTGTCTCTCTCTTTCTTTCTCTCTTTCCTTATTTTTCTTTTCATTATTGAGTGAGACAGATCAGGTTTTCCAAAGTTCATGAAGAGGAAGTGCATCTCCTGGTGTCATTGTTTTTGGACAGAGATTGACTGCCCTCTGTCACATTCAACGAACAGCATCACTAGAACGTTATAAAAGGAAATTTTATGTAAGTTAGATGGTTGACTGCTTCCTTTGCCTCTTTATGCTTTTATAACTAAGTAGAATATTTCACACTTTTCATCTTCAAAGTGCTTTATAAGCATTTACTCAATAGTCTTCATAGTAACCTTGTGAAATATTGTTACTATTATTATGTCCACGAGGAAAGCAGAGATGAGAGGGCATCATGAAAATCATATTTTCCTTACAAGTTTCCCACCAGCAGAACTTTTCTTGTGGTACTGATGATGGGATCTGGTCTGGACAAGCCAGGAGCAACCACCAGCATGGATTGCAAACACTGCAGCCTGTCTATTAGATGATACTATTTTTGAATTAACAGTGATCGGTCACAACAGCATTAGAATTTTTCCTACCTATTGCTGGAACTCCAGAAGTGGGAAAGTTCTTTGGACCAAAATCAGTACAGACACAGGAAAACAGACTTGCCCACAACCAAGCCTATTAGCTATTGCAACATAATTCTTGTGTAAATACTCCCATTAAATTCAGCCGGAATTATGACTCTTAACTCAGGATGCTCTGTAAGTCATGGCTAGGTTTTGGAGAGGTGAAAATAACAGTGCCAGTAATTCAGTTTAAATGGCTTTTCCTGTTTGTTTTTTTTTTTTCCTTTTTCTCCCAAAGTAATTGTTGATCTTGAAAGCAGATGTCTCCAAGCCTGTCTTCTTCTTCCTGAAGGAGTGTGTTGCAAACACTCTTAAATGGCAATGGGGCTTGCCTCCCACAGGGTCTTGGAGGGTGAAAAAGGCAGAAGTCATGTGGCAAAAGTAAGGGATTTTGGGTAGCTCCTGAAGGACAGTAAGCAACATTAGCCCCACTAAATTCTCGTTAACAATAGAAGTGCAGTGCTTTTATCAGAAGTACCGTGGCCCAGATTTATATTCTCAAGTGATCCAGCATGCAGTCTTCCAAGTTGTCTGCCTCAGGACAATGTCCACATATATATAAACCCATTTAAGGGTATCAGTCTTTATCTGGATTATTTTGCAATAATCATCAGTCCCCAATATTTTGGCTTCACCTAGTTTGGTTAGAGGTGAAGACAAACACATCCAAGCCCCTATATAAATATTTTTATTTAATTTCTTAAAACTACCCAACTTTAATTCACTTAACAGTTAATTTTTCAAATAAAAAAAAACATTTTAAAAGAGGCAGAACTACCGCACCATTCAGGATTTATGCCACTACTAAAATTATACAGAATATTGCACTGGGACATATTATATTGCATCTGCTCTCCTGGGGTTTCTTCTTCCCTGCCTCTGCAATGCCTTTTCCAAATTACTGCCAAAGACAAACACTGTAATATTTGCAAATTCAGGGTGGCTTTGCCTCTGCTGCACCAGAAGTCCCTGGTTCAGCTAAACCACTTCCACACACAGCCCTAACAAGAGCCTGTTTCATGCCCAGGCTTACAGGAAAGTTCTCGGTTTTTTGTCCTTGCTTTTCTGACTCATCACAGAAAACACCGAGGAGCTCTCTTTCTGTCTTTTGCAAAATCTCACGTAAACAACATGTCCCCTGGCAGTCAGTGCCTGTGTGAAAAGGAGAAACACAAGGATAGGGAGCTAAACTAAACTCAGCTTTTTTGAAGTTGAAGGAAGAAGGAAAAATATCCTGGAGAGACAGAAAGGAAGAAAAAAACAACCCCAAACCATATGCTATCTGAGCTCTTTTGCAAATGCCATTCTTACTTATGGCATTGACTTTGGTGGAACTGGGTCCTGAATGAGAATTAGACAGGTATTATACATGATTCTGCAATCTCACCTAGTGTTGGTGAGCATTAGCATCTGCACAGCTGTTTCTTAGTGGGGTGCAGTTTACATGGACAGTAGGGTAACCATGCCATGGTCAAAGAAAAACATGATCAAGCACTATGCTTAAAGTTTGCAACTCAGTGATCATCTCATGAGACTAGAGCTGTACCACTCCCAGCACCTCCTGGGATCCAGAAGCAAACTAACTGCTTTGGTTGATGATGAACTCCAAGTCAGGAAGCCTTGCTGGGCCCTGGGCTGGTGCTGTGAGGAGCCTGCTTGAAGAGCCTCTGGCTGATCCAGGTGATGTGGTGCCTCAGGCACAAGGTCACACAAAGGCAGATGCTCAGCCAAAGCCTGGCCAAGTGCAAAAGCTCTTGTCTCCTCCCAGGTGCCTATGTACTCATGGGGCAGGTGAGTGGAGAGGTGTCTTCTGTTTGGGATGGCTGGCAATGCCCCAAAGAACCTGAGCTGATCCTGTGCTCCACATATCCCCATTCATGTCTGCTTTCCCGCATAATCTGAACTTCACCTGGGGTCCCTGCCCTCCTTAGCCTCCATTCCCTTCTTGAGTGTTAGCTGGACCTATTAGAACAACCGAGCCTAAGTCTTTGTTTTCTCCTGCAAAAAAAAATGCTGCAGAAAAGGCTTTGGTAGAGATTGGTCTTACTATGAAAAGAGGTGTCTACCCGAAGACTAAGAATTAAAATGCCACCCTAAAATGAAAACCCCAGAAAAGACTGAGGAAGCAGGAGAATTACATCCACTTAACGATGCTCCAGACTGTCTAGGTGGCAGCCTGCTGGGGCAAGCACCCTGGGTTAATAGAGTAACCTCTCACCCCTGGAAACTAGTTTAAATCTTGCCTTAGGGTAATAAAGGAAGATTGCATCTGATGGTGTCAAATTAGTCCCTAGTGGACTTTTCTCCACATCACAAATTCACCACAGATTTCACAGAATTTGTCATGATTGGCAGAATGTGACGAGGAGAAGTTTAGGATGGGAATAGCTCAGGTTTTGTAGGCTGGAAATTAGGGGTTGTTTGCAAATGTCCTTAGCACTGTTAGGCCTTTGCTGTCAGAACAAAGCCCCAGATTCACCCCTGCTCTTCAAAGCAAGGGAAACAAATAGAGGAACTGTCATCTCATGACAGAATTAAACCATTATTCACCTTTACAGCTGAGTAGGCTTGTCAGAGACAGTAGTGACCTATTCCAGATAGGCATCATTGTCTCATTCAGTGAAATTATTGGGGTTTACATCAGTCTAAATGAGATAAAATATTATAGCAAGTTAGAGTTTAAAATAGTCAAGTATTTTAAAAGACAGTGATTTTGGAATAAATAAAAATGCAGATTATGATGAAACTTGTCCATTTCATGTGGACAATGGTATGTGAAATACCAGTTTGGAGACTCCTGTGCCTGGATCTTCATGCACACATCTCCTTCCTGCACAAGCACATGTCCAAGTCCTACACTTGCTCTGTACACACAGAATTTGAGGATAAGTGACTCAGAAAACATACCCCATGCATTAGAATTTTAAACAAATGATTTGTAAAGAAATAAAAAGACCCTTTTAGAAGGCTTTAAAGAAGAATTATGAGGATAGGGGAACAAACTGGAAAAAAAAATCCCAATGTAAAAGCAGCAGGAATGTGGGGTCTGGATGTGTTCTCAGAGCTGATAGAAACCTTGCCTTGGTTCTGGTGCTTGAACAAAACCACCTCTGACAGAGCTGGGAGCCTGCTAAGAGGTGAACTGGTGAATTTAGCTCAAAATCACTTCATTCAGTAGTGTAATTTGAGAAATAAATTCCTTATCTCTAGATGCTGTGAGAAAGAGAGCATGTGGCCCATGTGGGTGCTGGGGTTGTAACACTACCTACTGACACAGTCTCGTGTTACTGTACACTGCCTTTAAAAGCATCACAGCACCTTTTTGTGTTATTACTGGATGTCTTTACTGCAAGTTGTAAGAGTTGACAAATGGCTGCTTTCCAGATTTACTGACTTTGCTCATATCCTGTTGAAAATTCTTAATAACGGTGCTGAATTGGACATAAACATGTGCTTAATGTGTTTGAACATGAAACTTAAGCACTTTGCAAAGATTAGCTGAAATAAGTGGCAACAACGTGCATTTTCTTCTACAAAATAGGCAGAAATACTGTGCCTGTTTTTTACAAATAGTCTCTCTTGACAAAATATGCTATAGAAACTTTGAGCTACCTGCTGGTCATGTTAGTGGGTCCCCACTGACCTTTCTTCGTACTGACCATGGATGGAGGTGGCAGTGTCCTGCTGCTAGCCTGCACCCATGATGGGGCTGTGCATGGGCAGGGGTACAGCCACCAGCGAGTCCACAAGTGGGAAAGAGCTAGAAAACCTTACTCTAGGAGTTAGGGCTAAATCTGAGGGTCTGGGAGCATGAGGGCAGTGTCAAATCCAGCCCTTGAGCTGCTATGTGCCCCACAGGAGGTGTGGTTTCATGGATGCCTTTTACAGCAAGCCCAGCTCAGGGAGCTCTGTTTCATTGCCTTTTCTGCTTATCCTTCTTCCCCAGCCTGCAGGGCTATGCTAGCATGGCATGGGAGACCCTTCAGCATAGTGCCTGTACCTGCTGCAGGGGTTAGCCTCTGCATAATAAAAATGAACAGTAAGGTGAATAACCTAAACTAAAACTTTTTTTTTTTTTAATATACGTATGATGTTATATATGTTTTTCACATAACTAAAATAAATAAATTTAATAAAGGGTAAATCAGATAAACCTTAATAGTTCTGGCTGAAAAGTAAAATTCTTATGTCCATTCCCACCTGTTCGAATCCTTAGCAGCTCTCTTTGAATTATTAATATCACAATTTTGCATCAAGCTTTTCCTTAGCATAGTCTGTTACATTGCAGATCCCTATCTAGCTCTCTAATATGAGCAAGTGTTAATATTTAAGCAAAATAAATCAGCTTTATGATGGAAGCTCTAGATGCCAACTACGAAGCTGAGTTAGGAAATGTGTTAAGATGAAATATTCAAGCTTATGTCATAGAATCATAGAATAGTTTGGGTTGGAAGGTCATTTAGTCCAGCCTCTCAGCAATGAGCAGGGACACCTTCAACTAGATCAGGTTGCTCAGAGCCCAGCTCAAACCTGACCTTGAATATTTCCAGGGGATGTGGCATCTACCACCTCTCTGGGCAACCTACCCTTTGGTTAGGTTATTACCTGGCTTAACAAGTTATCTTCAATCCATTCCAGGAGTCTCCTGGATTGGCTATAGCTCACTGTGCTTCTTTTCCAGCAGATATTGGGATGTTTGAAGTCCCCAGGCAGGATGAGAGCCTGCAAGTGTGATACTTCTTACTTAACTTTTTACTCCTGTAGCTGCAGTAAGAAGGCTTCATCAACAGGTTTCCCTTGATAGGACAACCTGTAGTAGACACCAGCCACAAGGTTCCCTTTGTTGCCTCAGTCTCTTATTCTTGTCCATAAACTGTCAACCTGCTGGTGGCTATTATTCAGAGACAGCTCTTCACACTCTATCCATCTCTTGTTCTAGAGAGCAATGCCTCCACACCTCCTTCCTCACCTGTTCTTCTAAACAGCCTGTAACCACTGATAGCTGCACTCCAGTCATAGCAAGTAATAGATTTCTAACAGCATGGTGGATTAGAACTCCTGTTCATCTTATCTTGGACCTGGGAATGTGAGGGAGAGACGACTCCATATTTAAATATATTTAAATTTTTTATAAAAAAAAAATCATCCTTTTTCTAAAGTAGTCTCTCATTTCCTGTTTTTCTTAAAAATAATAATAAAAACATAATCCCAGGAGTGTACAATCTCCTACATCGTTTGCCACTACCTAGGAGTAAAGCTGACCTGAAAATTGAGTTCAGCTCCTTTTCATTTTCCATATAAGCAAACCAGCAAATTATTCTCAGCTTGTGCATAGATGAATACAGATATGCCCACCTCCTGCCACACATAACCTGCCCCAACCTCTTCGAATAATACTGTAATGAAAAATTACTGATCAAGGGGAAGGTCACAGGACTGGTGGCTGAGGACAACCAGAGAGCAAGATCTGACAGCAGAGGAAGAATACAGATCTACACCTACTTTAGTCACGGTTTCTGTGCAAATCTGTGTAGATATTCTTTTTTCCTTCAAATAAATACATCCCTTAACTATTTTTATCTGAAACAGCACTCTGTTAGCTAGTAAAAACAATGAAGTCTCATCTATTTCTGGCTACTTGCTAACAGCATAAATTAGACTTAGAGAATTCTTTCTGCCATGGGTGTCTGAAGCATAAATAACACCATATGTTCAGCAGCAGCTTAAATAAAATATCATTTTTATCTTGACAATGACGTTCTAATTTAGGAGCCATGGCTCTAATCACAACGCAAACACTGAAATGTTTTGCATAATCTTTGTAAAATGTTGTATTACTTTTGTTCTACCCTCAAACTATGTGTGATAGTGCATTATATTTGCAAGGGGAAATCCCCATCATCTTCTAGCTGTGTGCTGCCAATATACACCAATCAGAAAATCTAAATGTCATCAGGAATGACCCACAGAGTGAAAAACTTGTTCCTAAGAATGTATGAACCCCACTGGCTTCAGGAAATATTTGAAGAGTGAACACACATTTTGTCAAGATTTTTGAAATCCCAGGAGGAAGGGAAGGAATGAAAACATGACAGAGTAATTTAAAATGGCAGGTATTGCACTTTTCTCATTCAACACTGGAAATTGGATACCTGATATTAACAGAAGTCATTATTTTTATTACTCCTATTTAAAGAGGCTAACACCTGCTATCTCCCAGATTTCTGAGAGTGGTTGAATTTTTTCTTCCTCTCTGCAGTGGTTGTTGTATTGCTCCAGGTGGGAGCAAATGCCATTACTTTAGAGATTGGTGTCTATTTTATCTTCCCAGGAAACTGTACCTGGAACAGTCTGTTCTGAGCAGAGGGAAAAATAAACCTTCATTCCTGGAGTAGAAGAGGAGGTAGCAGCCTCTGCACTCAGCAGTGCCAGACCTTTGGACACAGTTGCACTGCTGCCTCCCCATCTTGAAGATGACCTGCCCTGCTACAGCCTGGCTGCCAGAGGAGATGAAGACATGTCCTGAGTCAGGATGCTCAATGCTGTGCCATGGGAACCTATTTTACCCTTAGGTCTTCAGGTATCTCATAGCTTGACTTTGGGAAATGATTTGCCTCCCATGTTGCCTCTGGCCTTTGTAGAGGTTATTTA